CCTGGCGGCCTCCTTCCTCACAATGAGCGGGTAAACCAGACCCCACCGCTACGGGCCCGTCCGCTGGTTCTGGGGCGTGTTCTTGGTTGGCTGCGATGTTCAGAGTGGTACAGCGAGCTCCCTGAGGCCACACAGCTTGTCCCTGAGCTCTCCCCAAGGGCCAGGCTGGGCTCGCCTCTGCTGCCTGGTGGTCAGGGCACACGAGGGTGTGGTGGGCTCAGAGCCGCGGGAGGCGGTGAGCCCAGTGCCCCTCCCCGCAGAGGGCTGGTCTGTGGGCTGCTGTCCTCTGCGACGGAGGGCCGCCTCCACCTGCACACTTGCCATGTCGTCCATGTCGAGGCGTCTGGGAGCGGCAGTCCTGAGCGGGCCTTGTGTGTCGAGCAGTTTAAACCCGATTTCACGGCATTTCAAAGGGAGCGCTCATTCACTCTGCGGTCTCAGAAGATCCCGCAGTGAGCTTTGCCTTTGAGAGCGAGGCCACGCCCCGGGGCACAGGTGCGGGCACCGCTCTGAAGGCCTGTTCTCTGGGAAGCTGGCTCCTTAACACCGGGGTAGCGCCCCTTCCTGGCCCTCTCCAGCAAGCAGGTGTCTGTCAGTCTGCTGGGTAGGCCCGACCTCCATGCCCTGGGCCGCCTGCGTCCCAGCCATGTCGCAGCCCACCTTCTGCCGCCTTCCCAAGGTGAGGTGTCAAAGGTCACTCTGCTACACGGTTTTCAGAGCACGAGGCAGTGGCGGGTCACCCGGCCGTGGGGTACTGAGACCAGGGCTACCACTTCATCTCCTCACGAAGCCCGGGGCTTTTTTCCCATGACTGGGTGGCCCAGGTCACCTGCAGCCTGGAGGGACTGGAGGACCCCTCGCCTGCTACAGGCGCCCATCCTGCAGGGTCACGGAGCGTGGCTCCAGGCTCCGCCCCAGTGTCCCGGAGGGTCCCATGCACTGAGCAGAGCCATGGCCTGCACCCGAGCCAGGCTCCCACGGCTCCGGGCTTGGGCAGTGCAGGCATGTGCTGTCCCTGTCATAGCTGTTGACCGTCAGAGGGCACGCATGCCTGCGGGGCAAGGGGTGTGGCCAGAGGGACCCCAGTGGGACACGTCTGTCTGTCCGCCCTACGGAAACCGGGCAGGTGCACACGCCCAGCTCGCTTCTCAAGCTGCCAGGGCAGGGGTTGGCACCGCGGTCGGCCACGTGGGGTACAGCTCCCTTCGCCTCTGGGCCACACGGGGGCCACGCTCCGTCGTTCTGGCATCGTCACGCCTGAGCTGCTTCCCGAAGCCGTGCGCGTCTTTGGCGTCGCGTCGTGCTGTCACTTAGTGCTGAGGAGCTCCAGCCCGCTGCCCGTCCTGTCAGCCCCCGGGAGCTGCCGGACGGCGACGCCTCGTCCGTGTCTCGCCCTCGTCTCCCACCGTTTCGTCTTCGTCAGTGACAGCTGGGTGTCAGAAACGACCCGTCCTCTCAGCTCGTGGCTGGTTTGCATTTGGTTACCACTGCGCAGAAGCAATTTGGGATGTTCCTTTTACTTGAAAAAAGCTGTGACAGTTGTGACCGTGCGCGTCCTGGGTCCACAGAGCCCCAGGCCCAGCAGCCTCCGCCACCTCCTCCATGAGGGCCGCCACTGCCGAGGACCCTGGACCCAG